TTTCTCCAGTCTTAGATGAAGCATGTGCCAAAGGAAAAGCCTTTTTTTAGGAGAGTCACACCTGGATATCGAGTAATGTTGGACCCAAAACATGGGGAAAAGTGTCCAGGCGTGTTGAGAAGTCTGCACATGAGCGCCTAGTTCCTCCTGCCTTCTGTCTTCTAGATGAATGCTACTGTGTGGATGACGAGTTTGCCTGCCCCACCCTCTGCATGTGGAAACTATGCCTCATTTGATTATAACACGTTGCATGTGTGACTCTTAGAGGGGTTGGCACATTGACTACAGTGAAGAAGTTTTTTTTTCTTAACTTCCTTAATGTAATGATCTATATTTCTAACAGTATTTATTTAATTTCTCTTGTTGCAGATTTACTGTATGTCAAGGCAGTTAGTTCCCTTACAGCAAACCTTTTTTTGGATTTAAGCTCCCTTCATCGTGAGGTCTTTTTCCCAAGCTAAAATTTTCCTAGTGTTGGTGCTGCCTCTCATGAAAACATTTTTGGTTTCTCATTTGCATGTCCTATAACATTTTGCTACTTGTTTATCTGAAAAAAAGAAAACTGTGAATTCATCCTGCTGGTGCCTTGTAGCTATAATTTAGTGTAGGTGTTCTGCAGTAGCGCAGTGTCTCACAGACGCACTGTTACCTTGTGTTTTTTCCCTCCTGCAGGGGTCCATCATTAGCAGTCCACACACACGAAGGAGAGCCAACACGCCTCGCGAGAGCGTGCCCCGCGGCCATCCATCCATCCCTAACTCGGCATCGACTTCCATCCTCGGGTCGCTCTTTGGCAGCAAGCGAGGGAAACCGCCGTCTCAGAGCCACCCTCCTTTCCCCCAACCTGGTCACCCCACTCTCATATCGCACAAGCCCCACCCGACCAACCTCCATCACACGGCGCAGGTGGTGCACGCAGTGCAGACCCAACACCACGGCCACCATCCCCAGTACTGCACGCAGAATCCCCCGCCTTACCACCACCACCACCACTACCACCCCCCACCTCACACGCAGTACCACCAGCACCCAGCCTACTCCTCACACGCACACCAACACGGCCATTCGCAGCACGGCCATTACAGCCAGCATTCCCACCACACCTCGCACTCGCAGCACTCTCACCACCACAGTCAGCAAGTGGGTTCGGCGCCTGGCGGACCCAAACCCAAACACAGTGGCATCAGCACCGTAGTGTGATGCTCCTAACTCAGAGAGGAGAAGCAAGGAGGGAACTTATTGAAGAAGGGACATTTGCTTACACCAAAGGGACTGACAGCATAACTCTATGGCCTGTCCACTGTGTTTCTGCTGCTGTGATGGAAACCAATCACATGCAGCCACCTTTTTTCACTTCCAGGTCCAATAAATATATGCAGGATGGATATTGGACTCAAATCTTCCACTAAGGGCCTTTACTAGCTTGCCTGATCAGGGACTTTGGTCCCATCGGGGTTTTGGGTGTACTGGGTATGGGTGGGGTTCTGCACAGGAAGATGCTCTTTGTTTTCCACAAACACCATCCGGCCGTGACAGCTGAGGAGAAAATAGGCTTTCTCACCAAGCTTCTCCCTGCTACTCCATTCCCTCAATAACCTGTCTTACCTTCACGTAACCACGGGGAAAAGATGGCCTGAGACGAAAACTCAGCTGACTGTTTTCTCTGTCGCAATGACATCACTTGTCGTGCTCAGCCTTTAGGAAGTCAGTTTTTCAAATCTTTGGTTTTGCGGATCCCAACATCATCTGAATGCTATTTGTTGTTGCCTCCTGTAGAGCTCATATGTAGTGAAAAACCTAGATGTAATCATTTCACACTAAATTAAATCAAAGGACAGGTGAAGAACTTGACTGAGTCAGTCATAGTAGTTCTAGTGCTGTATTTACTGTAGATGACAGCTATATGTGTTGTCTCCTAGCTCTCATAAATAAATGTGCCAATTATTACTGCATAATCTATTTAGTCAAGACTTCATGTACAGTATATTGTGTGTAAAGTAATTTGTAAGATTATACTTGCAATTATTATCAGCAAAAATGAACTTTATCAGTATTATACTGACTCTATGGTAACAGGATGTAGATCTGAAAGGAGTGAACTCCCATTTAGTCCGGCTGTTAATCTATTCTGGAATTTTTGCCTTTCCAAATGGATTAGAAAGAGTCTCTGGATGGCAGCTGTTGCATATGGGCCTCAAAATGCTGTGCAGTCACAGCTGAAGCTTCAAAGCAGACTCCACTTGTCAACTTTAGGAGCCGATAAAGTAGGTCGCTCGTTAGCTCTGCTTCCTTCCAATATTGTGGCTGCATAAGACGTAACGTAGTGAAGAATAACAGCGAAAAAGGCATTTCCAATGCTACGTGGCTCTGTTTCTGTTACAAAAGCAAAGTGCTGGACATGTTAAGTCTGTTGCTTTTAACATGTGCAACATCTGCCTCCTTGACTCTCAAAATCAGAAACATTTCTTAGCTCTTCTTTTTGCCTTGTTTAGAATATTTTTTTATTCACCAGGATTCGGTGAGTGAATAAAATCAGTTCTTACATAGTGAAGTATTTTTTCATCTTTTTTTCTATTATATGTGCAATATCTTTGTACTGATTTTGTACATTAAGAACAAGCAAGGTGTCCCTCCTATCTGTGCATTTTTCGTGTCGCGTCATTATTTATTTATTTTGTTTTTTTGACCCCTGTCAAGAGTCTTTTCTCAGTAAATTAATGTCTGGCTGTCCTCACGGTCTCATTAGAGGTACAGACTTGGAGTTCAGTGGAATGTCAAGTAAGTGATAATTTTGCATGTAATGTTGTTGATGTGAGGCTATCCTCTGCACATTGTATAACAAGTCAGTGTTACCATAGCAAGTTAAGTGCAATCATGTTCAGAAAATGCAGACTTGTACTGAAAGTGGAGGTCTCTTATCTTGTCGTCAGGACAAGATTCAGGTGAAAAAAGAAAAATCTTTTCTTTTTTTTTTTTCCATTCAAAATAAGGAAAAATATATAAATATATATATATATAATACTTACACAGTTCACAGTGGAAAGAAGAATGTGTGTATATATTTTAATAAAAGGGAATATACTTCTCCTTGGGCTGAACAGAAATATTTTGCTGGATAAGCACATTTGAAAGAACACTTTCATTGTTTTCAGGAAATGCAGTTACAATATACAAAAATGCAAACTGAAGAAACAAACTGGGTATATGTAAAGAATAACTTTCTACATTCTACAAATAAAAGTCTATTCTAGTGTGTAAATTAGTGACAGTAAACTGTTTGTCCCGATATTCAGGTTGTAAATGTATTTTAACATTCACGAAGAAAAAGCATCGCCATAAGTCAGGCTTACTCTCACACGTTTGTACTCATGTGACTTAAGACGGACATATCACATACTGGACATTAATGATCAGCTGAATGTGTCGCTCCACTGATATCATATCTTTGCTATAACTCTGATATCTTGGGATGATTTGAAACTGTTTAATCTGTTTATTTTTTTGGTGTGTGTTGTAGTTCTTCAAATGTCTACAGTCATTCTTTGCGAGAAAGTACCCCGGCAATGCACTGCATGGATCTGATGCATCATGTGTCCTATTCACTGTGAGCTTATGGGGGGATTCAAAAAAAAAGTTGGCCTATGAATTTTGACTTCTCCTTTGGTTTTGATTAGGTTGGAATTTTCAGATGTTGATGTGTTCTTGTTGTTCCATGTTAGCCTGGTAGTTACTAAAGCTCAGCATGCATTTCATCAACAAAGCCATTGTGTAAATTATAAACATGAAGAACATTGCACTTCCTTAGCTGAGGGCTTTCATCGTGTAAATACGGGATTTTGATGTGCAAACAGATGAGCTGCTTGGCTTAGAGGGTTTATCTTTATGACGCTGTTAAGGGACCAAGACTGGGGCTTAAAGGAGATGTACATAATGTGTATAGGATCAGTACTCTATTCTCAAGTTAAGATCAGGATGTATATACATCACCTCATGGATGGATGTGAGGGGTGATATATGAACATATCGACTGTCTCTGCCTCCAGCAGTGGTGAACTGACATTTGCTGTAGAAATCAAAAACAGACTGTTAGGAAGTTTCCTGCCATTTACATCCAGCTCTCTTTTCATACGTACAGCCCAGCGTACACACAGACAGATGACACACATCCTGCTGCAAGCTGTTCAGTCTGGCGTGAGACACATTATAAAAAAAGGAGGAGAGAGGAATGGCCTCATTTATATGTGCATTCTGTTTGTACAGTGAATAGTGAGTCAGTAAGACCCCAGTTATTGTAAAACTTCAACTGTGACAATGTTGAACGCAAAATAAACAAATATATGACTTATGGTATACGTGTGTCGTTTGTTGTGACTCCATGGTTAATACAAATCAATCTGTCTTCCCCCTTTTTTCGGGCCGGGCATTTCACATTAGGGTCTTATCCTTAGCCTCTCATATCTCCCACTTTCCACTAGTGTTTCGGTGTTTCCACTAGAGGACATGAATAAAAATGACATGAGATCTGAAAATCTGTGCCATGACACCACCTATGGGTGAAAAGTATACACAGTTCTCACAAAGATCAGCCTGTGAAAATGGTTGTGCCTACACTTACCTTTCAGCTTTAAACCAGTTTTGTAAATCTGAATGTGACACTCACTGTCCATTCTGCTTTGTAGCTCAACATTTCCATTAAGAAGCGTTTTCTCCTTGCCCTCGAGCTCAAACAGTGTTAGGTTTCCAAAATATTTCTTATGTGCATTCTAATCCTCACAAAGCTTTTCATGCTCAGAGCTGTAATTTGCCGCAAAATGCCCCTCGTGCCCTCAGCATCGCCGTGGACGCTAGTAATAAACACTCTGTGGGAGAGTTTCAGATGGCCCCGCCACTATTTTAGTAGATAAACTCTTATCTCTTTTAAGCAGATGGATTTCCTTCATGTCGTAGGCGCTATAACCGTTTGTCATTGGTGGAATCCTCAAACTGATGCCGTTCTGTATTACGCGCGTGATTATTGTGAGCTTAGCAGCACATCAGTTACAAAACAGGGATACCTTGACATGGGGAGCATTTCTGAAATATTCTCGGGCTCAGATTTTGCACTGGACTAGGACGGTGGCAGTATGATGACATTTAAAGATGACTGGCACTCTGGAAGGTTTGTAAATTGTATATATCTATATTTAATGGGAGGTTATTCCTTCTTAATATTTTTTTCTAAAACTTCAGGCTATCCATGAACAATTGAATTCACCTTACACATTATTTCACTCATACACATTAAGATTTCGGTCTCTATAGCATCTTCTAAACCATTTTACATGAGACATTTTCACATTAAGCAGTTTTATTGTACTTCAATCTTTTTCTGATCCTATAGGATGATCTTCAGTTTGAGCTTCGTGTTCTTCCACGTCCTGGTAACACACAGTATCATTAAGCCTTGCCACTGTTCAACCCTCGGGCCTGCTGGACTGGTAGTTAACTGCAGCGCTTTAAACCTCGTGGAGGTGCCTAATCTGCCCTCCGACACCACAGAGCTCCATTTGCAGAACAACCGGCTCACCTCTGTGTCTCCAGGCCTGTTTGACAGATATACTGGGCTGAACAAGGTTTCCCTGTCCAAGAACCCTTTCCACTGCGATTGTCAAATTCACTACCTGAGGAACTGGTTGCTGAAGAACAGGGCTATTGTTTTGAAGGAGCCCGTTTGCTTCAGTCCAAGCTCTGTGTCTAACAAAGCCATCACCGAACTTAGTGACGACTACTTTTCTCACTGCGCTGTTGCAAACTGCACTAATGGGATATACAACATCATAATAGGAGTAGCGCTATGCTGCCTCATTGTTCTGCTTCTGTGGAGCTTGAGTCTGGCCAGAAATTCCAATTTCACTCTGGATATAGATGAGAGACACTCAGGATTCGAGGCCGACTCCTTACGTTCACTGAAGCCCAAACACAGGAAGAGACTGCACACTGGACTATCAGAGGTCAGTGTCGACTCAGAGTCTCTCGGTCATACGGAGGATCTAGAAAGGCCGCTTCTCAACATGGAGTTACTGCCACAAGTTTTGGATGCGTTGCACAAGAAGCACAATATAAAGATAAAGGCTACCTGAGTGATCTTAGTCCACTAGAGTTACTCTTAAAGATTAAAGGGAACCCTAAAATATCCTGGCTTTTTGAAATAAAATGCACATAATAGTAGCCATTGGCTTGCTTGCCTAAATCATTTTTCCTTTAAAAAATAAAAATCCTCTGCTGCTAAGTGTCTTGTCCTTGACTTTTCACTCCTTTATTCATGTTTTCGCACCTTAAACTATAACAGACCCTTAATTGTCCTTTAAGTCCTGAAGGATTAAACTCTGAACATTTTGGTTAGTTTGTAGATGATGCATCAAAAGTCAGTTTTGGTTGTTTTTTTTTAAGTCATCTGAACTTTCTTTGCAGTCATGTTTTAGTGGAATATACTATACCTTTCAGTATTTCAGCTTCTTTAGTCATTATCACCCAGTTGTGCAATTTACAAATCATTTGAACCCTTTGCTCCTTTGACCACCGCATGTAGGTCCAAGTCCAAACCAATGCATTTCAGCTTTTAGCTTCTCCAACAAAACAAGGGCAAAATCTTTCATGATTCAGCAAACAAGAATTCCTTGGGGAGACACATTTTGTTTCTTTGTTTTCTTTTAATCAGAGAACCCTTTAAACATTTGACATTTTTAAATGCACCAGAACATTTTCTGACTTGTTGTGCGAAAGTTGTTCATTACAGTTACCCTAACCTTACTCTGACCCTAACACATTTATCGGTCTGCTCAAAAAATTAAGCGAACGCTAGAAAAACACATATCGGCTCTTTAAATATTCAAGTTGAAACATACACACATCTACTAACAGACACTGCGTAACATCTTGAGAGTAAAATTAAATGACTCATTGAAAACCGAAATCAACCCCCTCGTGTGCTAGATTCAAAATTACACCAAAAAGCAAAGTTAAAAACTGTTCTCCTAGTTTTCTGAGCAGTATTTACATACAGTATACACGTATAAATTTGTCTTACAAGTGGTCTGTCAGTTATACTAAGAATGACCTTCTAAATTATAACAACCATGTTATGAAAGGGTGATATGGTAACACAAAGATGAAAGGCTGATCTGTGCAAAAACTGGTCAAGGCTGTCGAAACTGAAACTGTCAAGACAGTGCTATTAGAGGGGAAAAAATTGCACATCGAACAGTTGTTTTTAAAGATACAAGAATTACTCTTATATTCATGCATAGATTTACCATGACAAATGGGTAAACAAATAGCTAAAAATGCAATAACAAAAGGTCACCGTAAGAATAAAGATTAAATGTTAATATGCTTCTTAAAAACACTGTCATTAGCTTGTAAATAAATATAGGATGGCTTCAGGGTTTGTAACAATCTAGAACAGTAGTTTTATCTAACAAAGATACTTAATAAGGTCAAATAAGGCAGTTCTTACACATTTCCTTATTGGAAAAAAAAAAGAAACAGGTAATGACTATCAGAAAAAACAACAGTTATTTAATCTTTTTTCCCCTCTGAAATCTCCTTTATTGTTAAAATTTTAGATGACCTATATTATGTCAATGCCCTGTCAGGTTTTTAAACAAAGTCCACAGTGTTAGGCTTCTAGAGGTCTGAACATGAAGTGGTACTACCAGTTTAATGCTCGCTTTCCCTCCCTTTCCCCCTGCTTGGATCTCCATGACCACACGAAGCCTGTTGGCTCAAAATACTACTGAGGCACAAACTTTTCTTGCTCAAAGATGAGATCAACAGCTTCTGCCACATCCTGCACGATATGGCCTGGCTCCACGAGACCAGGGTCAAATATGAAGTCCCGGTGCCCGTGGAACACAGTCTCCTTGATGCAGTGATTTGCATCAGACGGCACCTCTGCGTTGGGGTTATACACCCCTGTACAGACTAGGACAGACTTACAGGAAGTAGCAGAGGGCAGAGCGAGCTCGCTTTCCCACAGGCTGTCAATCTCTTCCTCCCTGGGCACTGCCGTGGTGGACCCAGTGGCAGACACCATCTTAGCAACAGCTTTGGGGTTTTTTCTCGCAACTCTCTCCTCCAGGTAGCGGTTGTACAGATTGGCTCCATAGATGTCAGTCATGAGGTTATCCCTAAAAATGCAGAAGAAAAGGGTATTACTCTGTGCCCCAGGCAGCATGCATGAAGTTGACCTATATATCAGTACATGTTGAAATGTGTGTGGTTTTTTCCTGGTGCTGAGTGCAAGTCACATGAATTAGAACAAACAATCAGCTAAAAAAAAAGCTGAAGTGAAACATGCAAGTCCCCAAATTAAAGCACGACAGAATGACATGCTAACTAACACACGTAAGCATTTAAAAGCGAACAGTTTTCTCATCAAATTATTGAGCAACGTTTCAGTAAAATCTTCTTTTGATAGCCTATCTGTCTATCAGACATCATGATAAGTGAGTTCTGGTCTTATGTTAAGTATAAAGGCAAAACAGAGTTAAAAGCTGGTGTCTCACCCTATAGCATATAGGGAAGTAACGGGAAGTTCCCACTGCCTCTGCATGGCCTGGCTTCTGATGAGGTACTCTGCAAAATGGTAAGTCAGCTCACTGGGTTTTCCCATAAGAGCCTCATACTTCAGATCTTTGCCGGTTATCTTCTTGTAGATGTTCTCTAGGCACACAAGAAATGTTCCATGGCCAAACCTGGAACAAAATGAGACGGTGAAAGACAGATATGTCAGTACACTGATTTGATTACTTGAAAGACAAAAACATTAAAAACATTTTATATAAAAAGACAGATTTTTGTAACGTTTACCGAGGAGAATGTGCCTCAGCCATCCACATGAGGTCCATGTTGCAGGCCAGCAGGTGAAGTTGAGGAGTGTTTTGGGTTTGGTGACTACTACCGAGGTTACCATTGGTCAACAGAACGTCAACTATCAGCTGCAGGTTGGTTTCCCATCGGATCGGCTCGCCGAACAAAACCACAGCTGTTTGTGGAATTCAAAGATTAGAACAGCGTTCATCAAAATTGCAAGAATTTCAAAACTATCAAAGCAGATGTTAGTAAGTGTACCATGTCAATGACGAAAGATAAACGTTTAATTTGAGAAGAGCCAACTGTTTTTACCTTCAATTTTCGGAAGGCTGACAACAGGATTGGACTACATTTAAAGAAGGGAAATTAAAGTTATGACATTATATTATACATATCTCCAACATCATGTTTGTGCACCAGATTGTAAAATCTCACCGGCAATTTTGGTCTCCTGTTGTGATCCACCATGTCCAGCAATGGGTACGATTCTCTAAGCATATCAATACTGATTACATTCTTAAAGCCCACACTAAAGACAGAATGTTAAGGAGAAATGAAGAAGTAATACTCAAGTTTAAATGTAAATATATAAATTATATTGTAAATTTAAACAAAGCAGATTTCTAGGATACTTTTTAGCAATTTCCAGGACAGGTCCTTGTCCTGACACCAAGACACACTTGTCATGGAACTTCTTAAACATCCTCAGGGGACTATGGGACATGATAACTTGGTCTTGTGTGATCTGAAAATAGCACAGTTGTAGTGAGGTTAATAGCAAAGGAGTCAGGTGAGACCAAATTATCCAAAAATAATCAGAGATAAAACGTAACAACTTCAGTTTCAGTACTGTGCACAAGTCTCAAGCCACCACCCATTTCTTTACATTTTGCTTCCAAAGAGTCAGATTTTCTTGAACACTGACTTCGTTTTTACTCATTTTCAGTCCAGTCCTTTTACCTGAACATTTCCAAAATAATAATTGTTGTTGTCATTCATTCAAGCATTAAAGAAAAGGGCCGAACTCAAGAGATGAACTAGTGTTTTATATCTACAGGTTAGCAAATGGACAATTTTCAGTCTTCAGCCTATGTTGAAAAAAAACAACAACAAACAAACAAAGGTGGCGATAGCAAATATTGACTTTAAAGCTTGTTAGAATTGTACAAACTCTGTACAAACATGTGTGTTTGTACAGAGTTTGTACATTGTGCATCTTTCAATACAATTTCTTATTTTCCTAGCAAATTATTATTTCTTAAATAAGGGGAAACTGAAAAAGTTTTGAATGCACTGCATGCACACACCAAAGAGCAGGGGATACACCCTTAACACCATTAAAACTTGCACAGGAATTTAAAACTCACAGGCACTCCCAGTATGTGAGAGAGCTGGTCCGCTTTTGTTTGTCTGAGGCAATTCCCTGCATTTGTGACAAAAACGACTGGCACCACAAACTGTCCCTGAGAGTCGACCAACTTCTCAAATGCTTTTGTTGCCGCAGGGATTGGCATCCTCCCTCTGACAAGCACGCCATCAATGTCGAATAACAGCCCAAATCTTGGCTGTGGCTGCAGAAGGGAAGGACAGACACACACTGATCAGCCAAACAAATAAGAACTTTTTTTAAGCGGGGAAACAACATGAGTGATTAATAGCAGGCAAATTAAGTAGAATAACGGTTCACTGAATAACCAATGGGTTTGAATGATGTCTTAAAAAGGATAATCTATTACTCTGCACAGTATGACATTTCCAATGACACTGATCATTTATTATTTTACATAACTTAAATTCTTTGTAGGCAATCATCATTATCATCGTGTAAGAATGATAACAACTGGTTTCTATTTGACGTCAACATGGGAGACAGGAATCTATAGTGAGAACTGCTATGGTGACACAGCAGTACACAGGCCTGTTAGCATATTACAATCAATCTTACAGTATCCCAAATCTCAAAATTATTTCCCCCCCTGGAGCTGGGACTAATTAAAACAAAGAAAGAACACAGTGTATCAGTGGTTGCTTTTCTCATGGTGGGAGGGGGGGCAAAAATACAGCGAGCTACATCTGCTGCTGCCCCTGATGTCAGCGCCTCTGTTGTTTCATCCCTGAGCGCATCCACAGCTGAGAAAGTTGCGAGCAACCCCGCACGCCACGTCGATACGATACATTGTAACAAAAAAACAATGCGAGAGAGCAACAAACAAAGTACCGCCTTGTTATCAGTGTCAACGACATGTTGTTTGCCAGAGCCCGAAGCAACAGCAACAGCAACAGCTCGAACCGTACCTTGCTATTAGACTGAGTTCCGCAAAGCCCGCACCGAGAACCGACAATCCCAGCTTTACGACTGGCTTGGCGGTTACTCAGGGTGTACAAACCCCGGTAAAACGGCAGGAGTCCCCTCATCTCCTTTACTTACCCACCGGGTTAATGAAGAAAAAACAAAATAGACAATAATGTGTAAATCTAAACCCCTTAAGAAGCGTGAGCCGGCTCGCACCGGCCGCGCTGGCTGGCTGGTTGGTTGGGCTTGTTTTCTCTCATATATTTTCTCGCCTATAATTTGACTGGTTGAGACCCGATGACGACATATGAGGAGTAGGAGGGTCTTTTGCTGCATCTCTGCCGGAAGGAGCTGCATCTGCACCGCAACCCCCGCTGCCATTTTAGACACCGAGGTGGAGCTTTCCATTTCTTGTACGCACAAGACACGCATGGATCACAGAGGCCGCAGAGTAAAGACAAAATAGGAGAACTCATTGATCACCACTCCTTGTCATTCCGGATCAAGTATATGTACAGCAGAGAGATCAAAATGGATGCGGGTGAATCTTGTTTAGCAATGACACAAACAGCTCGGTTTAGTTGCTGATGTCACATGCAGGAGTACGTCGAGTCCAAAAATTGCCAGGAATGTGCTGCAGGAAGCCTGATAGGCAAAAGCGATCCATCCAGTGAGGGAGTGTTTAACCATTTCTTAGTGGAAGAAATATGCCTGCTCATGTTAAACACGTAATTTTCTGGATATAATACTGCAGATGCAGACTAACAAAATGTCTAGATTAATATAAAATACAAGATCCAGCTTTGCATGTTGTTTAATCCCACGATAATCTGTAGGTTATCTAGCAGATAATCCTTTATGTGAACTTCTAGGACACAAGCAGCAGCTCAAAAGTTATCAGCGTCCCACATCTTGCGCAAGATGTTCAGACGAGTTGAGAACAGAAGCATCTGTAAAGATAAAGTGTGGCAAAACGAGCTGTGGAACATGCTGCGTGTATTGCAAAAGAAATCAGACAAGAAGATCCTCCCCGTGCTCCTCCAGCTTTATTGATAGTTTAAAATTACATTTCTATTTTCTAGGACTTCAGTTGCACTTTCCTTCCGACTTAAAAACTGAGTACAAGCAAATGGTATTTATACAGTAGTCTAAGTGATATTGTACAAAAATAACATTTTTGATTTTCTGTGAAAACATTTTTCATTCCCAAATAACTCCTAATTCTGCCGTTCTGACAACTGTTGATGTTAAGTTTTGCCAAGGTAAAAAAAAAAAAATTCCAAAGCCATTTTAAAAGGAAAAGTCTGCCTTGGACTACCGTGTTACTTAAATTGTAAACAGATTTCTATAAAAGAGCATGTTCCTTTTAACAACTCCAAAATTTTTATATCTTAGTAATATAACATGTAGTTTGTTATCGCCCACTTAGCTGCTGTAGGGCTGAAATGCATCATGTTATGAACTGTTTCCATGTCATACTCTCTTGGCCAACTCATATCCCACTAAAACAAACCAAAATGACCATACATGGAAGTTTGGTTTCCATTTACTCCCTTCTTCTATCTCATTTTACTGAGATACACTTCCACAAGCTCAGAGGTCCTATAGATTCCCATATGTTTAGTCCCGTTTATTCATCATCTCTGGTCACCAGTGGCTTGGAAAGGGGGGGTTCTTTAACAAAGCATTATACATAACACCGCTACCAAACTAAAACATTTTTTGTATTGAATGCAGAAAGATATTTTTTTCACCCCTTTCTTTGTATTACATGTCGAGAGGCTCACTGGCCTGGGACTAGCCTCTGTTAGCCAACCTTTGGCCAGTGAAGAGGATTCAGAGAAAATAATACAACCAACCATCAATCTGAAAAAAGGAGGGGCAACAGAGGGCACTGATTATGCGGTGGCTTCAATGGTGCACTCTTTTGCCAGGTGGCCTGCCTTTCCGCAGTTGTAGCAGTTAGTCTCGCTTGCTTTACTGCAGTGTACAGCAACGTGACCAATCTCACCACACCTGAAAAAGAAAGAATGTGGCACAGAAGTATACCTAAAGATTAGAATTGGAGGGCTTCAAAATAGTAGAAATTTGGTCAAACTGTAGCACCAGGCTTGCTTCTCCAAACAGAACCATATTTACCTGTAACATTTCACCTTATCGCACAGCTTCTGGATGTGGCCAAACCCACCGCAGGAGTAGCACTTCTGCTCATTGGCGTGATCGCAGTCACGGGCCATGTGACCAGCTTTCCCGCAAGTGTAGCAGAGCTGCTCTCTCTCCTTTTTGGGCTCCTTGCAGTCCCGGGAAATGTGACCACTCCTGTGGCAGTTGTAGCACGCTGATCAGGGGGGAAAAAACGATTAAAAAAAAAAACATTTCTGGGAAAGATTGGTACCAAGTAAAACTGAAGAAAAACAATTGGAATTCACACCATCCTCAGTTTGGTCACAGTCCCTGGCCATGTGTCCTTGGTCTCCACACCGATAACAGAACAGCTCTGTAATGACACAGATGGATAAGCAAAGCAGAAAACTACAAGAATCAACCTTTTCCTTTCATTTTCACCCATGCCTTCTATAACTAAATCCAGTTTATATTGGGTGTGGCAAGAATAGTATAGTACCCTTGCCTCGTCCTCGTCCCCTGCCACGGCCACGCGAACCACTGGCATTAGGGCAGTGCTTGACCCAATGTCCAGAGCGGCCACATCCAAAGCACTCACTGTTGCTGCTCATCTCCATTACCTTCAAGAAAAAACAAAACAGAAATTAGTTAACACATCGTTTCATGTACTCAATGATCCTTATGAACACTGACTTTCAGTTGTTTTTCAGTTGTTCGCTTTAGCTTTTGTGTCAATTTCAACAAAGACCCCCTTTCCCCCCCTTGGAGAATGTGGCTATCATCTTTGGCACTCTCCAAACTTCCAGTTTTGATGTGACCATAAAGTCCAACTTAAGTCTAACCTCTGAGAGGTACATGTATGGACATTGTAGATGAAAGAAATGCCTTTTACTGGTGCTAAATTTGGATACCAGTTTGTGTTACATTCTATAGATGACAGTTTAAGTTTAGAATGAAGTTTAAATGTGAAATCTGCACATTAATCTAAGTCCATCTCTATGTGCAGACCACTATTTCACATTTATATTATCAAAAAAATCTTGCAATTTAATTGATGAAACCACTTAAGGCTAAACAAAAAAAATTCTGCCATAAATACCTAACATCAAAAAGTACATGAATATAACAAAAATAATAATGATTTTCAAGGGTGGACAAAGTAGGCTAACTCTTATTGTCTCATGTTTGAAATTGCTTATGCCAGTGTCAAACAACTTTACCACACAACTGAAACACAGTTACTACAGGAGTCATTCTAGTATAATGACTACGGGGTGGGGTCTAATCTAAAATCAAACAATAGTTTTTGTTTTTTTCTTCTTCCAAGCTCTAGTCTATCATAACTGACCACCAGACTACACTGAACTACTAAGCTAACTTACAAGGCTTCCTCAGCGAGATCATGCTGTAATTGCCCTAGGTCAAACTTCTGTTTGCTGATAGTGCTGAAGATATTCAAATCAGGAAGAATGTGAGTTAATTAGTAATCAATTCTCGCGTATTACCCACCCAAAAGAAGACCTGGGGACACAAAATGACTCAGATTTTATTGACTTTGCATACAGTGAAACGTGTTTCCTTTTTGCTTTACTGTCCATCCAAGTGTCCGTCCCACTTCAACTTTCGTCACTAAACGCCTTCTAAAATTTCGTATAACGTTTATCTACGGGCCACATGGGGACACCCAAAGCGCCTCGATTTGATGGAGAAAGCCGTGATGAAGTAATCCTCGTTAAAACAATCATTTTAATGCCACCCACTGCTGACTGCTACGTAAATAACCACGAAAGCATGCTTACTTAGAAAGCTAGCTTCAGAGGCCAGCATGTCGCATCGTTGATTTGTTGATTTAACGCCTTCAAAGATACCAGCAAACTCGAGGTACAAACAATAGCACGATATCCCGAGTCGTTTAAAAAATAACTGTATGTCTGTTAAATGTACATATCTGACTACATGTTTCAGAAATATTTTGCGTTTCCAAAACAGAAATCAAATACCAAAGGTTGAAGCTACGCTAACACGGGCCTAGTCACGTTGATTTTTCTGCGTACTCGCGAGACACCAATGCTGCTGGCTAGTACATGCTAGCACACCACCACACGACCACGATCAAGAAGCACGGTTCAGTCGACGATCAGTCCTCTTTCCCCATATAGAAAAGTGTCTCACCCACCGTTACAGCTATACATTTTCACAATACATTGTTTTCGCGGGCATTTGAGTAAATTTACCATAAGTATAAAATTTCCCGCGCAGGGACCAAACACCAAAGTCGTTGTGACGAGCTAGCATTAGCGGGCCTGACCAAGATCCCGACGCTCCGTTAATGAGTCTAAACTAAACCAGTGCGTATTTAAAAAATAAAGAAAATTCGTTTAAACGCTCAAGTAACGGTTAACATCAATCTTAACATGCCTTAGTTTCAACGTTAAAAGATATACAACGTAAATTGATGAAAGTATTTTAATGTCGTTTTATCGCTTACCTTGATGGCTACCTAGCTATGTCAGTGTTTACGCCTCCTTCTTTGCGCTACATGCGGTGCGAGCAGGAGTTCCTGAATTGTCATTCAACGTATCCATTAAAAGCTCGCACAGTCATTGGTCGACTACTCTGCGAGCGGCCAATCAGACATGAGAGACTCTGGACACCGCCTCTGCGAATCAGCCAATCGTGGCTTTAGAACGGTCCCTTTTCCCTTAATCGACTGACCTTATTTTTCCCCCCTCTTCATGTTCAACATTTAAAAGCATCTTATTAAAACAAACGCTAGAGAATGTTATAGTCTTCGCTTTACCTGCACTACACTCCTCACACAAGAGGACAACACAGCGCTTTTATTAACTATTAATAATACGTTCTTCAAAAATTAACCACATGTGAGAGTCACAGCATGGATACAGTAGGCTTGCCCATACAAAATACTCACAGTTCTTCACATTTAATCTGGAAACTGAAAAGGTTTCTACGTGACAGTTTTTATTTATCATCTTTCTTCATTTTACTGAGGTTAATTTGCCTATAGGACTGAGCAAGTTAAAAACTGGTTGGTCTGCATGTCCCCATAGGCCACATCTAAGTAAAAAATCATAACAAGTACAGCCTTTGATCTCACAATATTTAATAAAAATGTTGGCTGTACATGTATGCCCCTATCATAGAGACTTGAGCAGTTTGATTTAACACAACTTAAATTAGCTGAGAAAGATTTCAGAAGCAGCTTTGTTTACAAAATTAATACAATAAGCAATTTAGACATTTATCTTGTTAATCCAGTCAGTTGAAAATGTTTAAATGTGTTTGGCATAAATTGGCAAAGACTGGAGTATCGTTGTCATAATCTCTGACAGAGCAATCAAGCAACACTGGATTTATCTGAAATTATTTTGCGTTATTAGGTCAATTAAGAGAATAGCCAGGTGAATAATAAATATGTTAAAAATGTTACATTACATTAATGTTTTTCCTCTTATTAAGCATATCTGAATTTACTGTTTATAGGCAAACTGCCGTGTTTGTGAGTGCCCAAAGTTAAGAAATGAACATTAACATGTATTTCTGAAAACTTGTAAGGATCTGGGATATGAATGTTATTGTCAATAAACCTGTAACACTGATTATGATAAAGAGTACAAGGGTATGTGTTTCAAGCTGGTGATTTCTCATTTGCACAACCCCAGCTCTTTAAAAACTCCTACTGTGAGCATCACATTTTGAATACAGGATAACTGATAGAGAGACAATCTGTGGGAGCTGCAAGCATCTCAGCTAACTGGTCTGAGTGCTGTGCCAAATCAATAAGTGGGAAATGCATTCATTTCAGTCTTAAGGTGGCTTTGGTTGTTTTCCTTCAGGGTGGCAAATTCTCTCCTTTCTAGTCTTAATTTTGCAGCTCAAAATGTTTACTGGCGATCTGGCAAAATATAACCACCTGTAAAGCATATTTCTGCACATATTAAGAGAATTTTAATATATCTCACTGACTGATAAACTGTGCTCCTATTGTATGTGGAGTGGGGTACCTTAAAATGATCCACAATGACAAAGCCCTGCCCTCATCTTCACAGAAACAGTATTCGGTGTTTCTGTTACTTGTTTGGTGAATATCTGTCATTTTCAGAAAAGAAGACCTAGTTGGAAAGTTACATATGAGAACTGAAAGTAGAGTTTCCTGTTGAACTGGATTATGGATGGTAGGTTTTTGATTTTGTTGTTTGACTAAAATAATCTGCTAGTGCTATATGAAAACAACACGAGGATGCTTAATCAACCACTGACTGGAACGTGGTATTTTATTTTCAGATGGTGTCAACTACAGCTTGCTCAAAAGACCTTATGAACCATCTGTGATTAGGACACCTCAGGGGACCCAGACCTGGAAGCAACAGAGATGGTGAACACATGGTGAGTGTGATAATGTATTAGTTTGGGTAGGATGAAGTGGCGGTGTTCGATGATTAAAAAAAACAGCTGGGATGTTTGAAAAGCATATAAAAATCTAATAGAAATAAAACAATGACGCATTTCTGTGCTGCACATTATAAGTGAGATTTGTTTTTTGTATTGATTACATTTTTTAATAGCTGCAGCCTGCATGGCATACCACAAGACTTCATTGTCCTTTTTGCCACACAAGTATAAGAATTTTAGCATTAAGAGGTGAAAAGGCTATAAAATTATGTCCAGGTCTACAAAATTGCACTGCTCTAAAGTCTCCAGATGATGGTGCCCTTGGAGAGGATTACTCCTTCACACCAAACCGGTAGTGGGCCTTTTCGCTTGCTTTTCAAAAGATACTTTTGCGACTACTTTAAAATAATATTAATAATAATTTCAATGCATGTTAAATTTTCATGCGCAGTACCATTTGAGGAAAAGAAAAAAACATGTTTTTGCAAGTATGAGCTCTCAGCACGATAGTATGAGGGTGGCGTAAGCTGCACAATATGGCTACAAAGTATCTTATATGTAATGTTATTGCGAACCCAGTAAATTCAGATGTAATCATACTCACTCTTTTATGAGCACAAAAAACCACAATACCAGTAAAGTGGGAGGGCTTAGTTTGTGCTATAGTTGCGCAGTGTGAATGATGCTTGCAACTCTTGATATGACTGCAAGGTCCTGTTTCAATCAGTGGCGTCAGCCGGACGCACGACACCAACTTAAACTGCTTCACCTTCTTCTCCCGAACAACGTAAACATTGAGCTGCAAAGCGAAGCACTGCGGACCTACTTTTTGTGGGGGGAGGTTTTAATTTGAAAGTGCTTCGCTGGATTTGAAGAATATCCCTCGTCGTGTCACTTTGAGGGTCCGACGGACAGACGGATTTTTTTTTCGCTTTTACCACGAATTGGAGATTTAAAAAAAAAGAAGAGGAAGAAAAAAAGTTTTCTTCTCTTATTTTGGGTGGTTCGAAAAGGAGACCCGCCTATGACCTTACCCTCTTACATTAATGCAACATTTACCGGATACAGGGTTATTTGATACAGTGTCTGGATCTTTACCGACTTGGAATTATTCCTCTTTTCTTTGAATGCGTTGCAAATATGATGATGTCACCGAGGCCACTTTTTCCTGAAGTTATGGCGGAGCACAACTTTTTTAACTTCTCTTGGTGAGCATATACAGGCTACTGGCCCCTAGCATTGCTACTCTTTGACTCATGTTTGAAGTGCTAACTCTTTAGTTAAAACCGCTTCACCACGACTCGCATTACCAAAGAAATGAATCGTTTGAGCAAGAGAAAATTGAATGGAGGGCGAACGGAGCCGTGCAGTGAAGTTTGACGATATAGTCCGCGTTTGACGGCCTTCAGGCAATTCCATAGTTATAACTGGATCAACCAGGCCTTATAAAACACGTAACTTCTAATAGTTGCTGTAGCAGAACAAAGCACTCACGCACTTCGGTTATAGCCGTACCTTCTTGTCTTTTTCAGCAGCACGTTTTTATTTATTTGGACAAAGTTCAAAACTCAAAAGTAAAGTGATCCCCTCAACCTAACACCTACAAATAATGCTAACCTGCTGAGATTGCTCTCACCTACAATTGCGACTTTGGATACTTGTCACAGGATCTTATGTGGATGCACCACTGATGTGGGCTTGTGTTGCTTAGACTGACTTGCTATGAAGAACAGATCAAAGCTGATGGGAGTAAAATCTTAATTATTCTAGATTTGGCAAACATGCTTTCTCTTGAGGCTCTTTCCTGGATGGGTGACAGCACTTGTTTTGGACACAGTTCCAGCAGCATGGTGGGGAAGGTGGCCCAGCCACAGTTCTGCAAGTTCCTGCTTTTCTGTACTTCTGAAAAACAAACAAACAAACCTGTGTACCTGCTATGACAGCTAACCAGTGCTAACAGGGCTTTGTTTAAGTGACACCACAGAAAATTAGGGTATACCTACTAAATGTGATGACCTGTGTAAAGCGCTATAGTTTATATTGAAAGCAGCACAAGGGGAGTGGGGGGGCAGTAACCTATTTGTTTGTGGTGGGTACATACACCTTGAGTTGTAAGGAGTCCCAGTTGACATGAAAACTACCCTTTTTTAATTTGTTTCAATTCATCCTGTGTTGAAATAATTGTGAACCTTGTCTGTGAGTAACTGTGACTGACCCCTGTTAGAGATTTTGTTGGTTTTAATATAGTATAGTTAGTCTACATTTCTTTTACAAGACTAAATGGCAAGACTACTAAATGATACATTTAAACCAAAATGTGGTTTTCTGTAACTCAAATAACCACTAATTTGATGCTAACCGAAAGATTCCTTTTACGTTTCCTGTCACACTTTAAGGCATCCTGCTTAGATACCCTTCATATCAGCATTGGGCCCAATCTTGCTATAATCTAAGAAGTCTGCACTCTTTGAGGTTATATTTAGTGATTGCAGCAAAAAAGTTGTCATTGCATTAACCAGTTATGTCTTTGTTGTGGTACCTTTGCATTCTGTGTCACCATTTCATTCAGTTGTAGATGGCATGCATACAAGTCAACTGTGCTTGTCTCTATTAAAAAAAAAAAAAACTAAACAAAAAAACAACCTTAAACTGCATGGCTGAATGTTTGATTTTCAGTACAAGCAGGTTAATACTCAGTTCTGTCAGAAAGATAAATGGTCAGGTGCAGCTGATGTCTTTCATGTTCTTTAATTTGCAGGCTTTTCTACTGTCTTCTTAATCTTTTATTTATTCATCTTGTTTATTTTTTTACATTTCAGACTATTGTAAGCACTTGGCTTTACTAATGGCGCACCCTCAGGGAGTGTGGAAGAGCCTGAGCAACGGTTTTGGAATGAAGGACTCTCCGTTTGAGGGCCCCTGCCTTTCTCCGACCATAGTCCAGGGCTATCCCTGCCAGCGTCGCTCCTCAGATGACAGCAAGATGCCCGACTCAAAGGCTAGCAGCACTATCCGTGTCTACCTCCCGAACCAGCAACGCACTGTGGTGAGTTGATTTCTATTAACGGTGACGTACTGGTGCTTCAGAAAATTTCACCATCATAACTGCAAATAGCAACAGTTCAAAAGTATTGTACTGGTATAAAACTACTCATGGCAATATGGAACATCACAAAAAAATAACTGATTTCTCTTTTGGTATTTTTTGTCATCTCAGGTAAACGTGCGACCAGGTATGACTCTTTACCACTGCCTGATTAAAGCACTGAGGGTGCGGGGCCTGCAGCCTCAGTGCTGCGCTGTCTTCAGGCTGAATTCAGGACAGGGGAGGTGAGCTCAGGACTGCTGTCGATTTTCAAAGCACGGGTAATGAGAAGCAGAGCTAAGTGTAGCTGCTTTTTTAGATATCTCATTCCCTTTTTTTTTTTCCCTCCCTCAGTAGAAAATCACGGATGGATTGGAATACCGATTCCACTTCACTAATTGGGGAAGAGCTGCAGGTGGAGGTTTTAGATCACGTCCCCTTGACAACGCATAATTTTGTGAGTACCCAAAAGCACTCAAAAGTATCCTCAGCTCTCAAGAGAGTGTCACTGTTAAAGAAACAAATGAATATTTATCCCTGTCTGTTTCAGGTTCGCAAAACATATCTGAAACTAGCGTTCTGCGATATTTGCCAGAAGTTCCTTCTGAATGGTTTCCGTTGCCAAACATGTGGCTACAAATTCCATGAGCATTGTAGCACCAAAGTGCCCACAATGTGTGTGGACTGGATCAATATCAGGCAACTCTTGTAAGTATATGAAAGCGTGTAAACAACTTGTCCGTATTTTTGTATGTTACATCATAAGTAATAGCTTTTGGAATTGTGTGTGTGTGTGTGTATATATGTGTGTATATATGTGTGTATATAT